GATTATTTATATGCTCCACTCGACCCCGAATTATTAAAATGATCCAAACTTTATCGAGCGAATCTTCGAACCTAGTATTGACGAAATTGACTGTTGTTAAACCTGTTACGATTCAGCCTCCATAGAAAGTGTTGTCATATGCCAAGGTGTGTGAATATGCGGAGCAATGGGTCATATACATATAAGTGAAATCCCCCTTTTGGTTCGAGATCGCTCCTGCAAAACGAAAATTAGTTAATCGCAACAACGATCCGGAATTGCGGAGATTCCAAAGTTCCATAACTGGCATTTTTTGATAATGGCGCTGATAGGAAACAACGGGCTCTTTACCCTTATTGACTTTTCGAGCTTCATTATCGCTGGTTCTTATCACAAAAGCATGTAGTATAGACGTATTTCCCAGCCTATATAAATGAAAAAATTTAACGATAATCACATGTTCCACTAACTTTTATATCGATCCCACCTATGATGTGATTGGTTGATAAACTTCCCAGTTTAACAGTCATACTCTGGATCTAATTGGTCTTATTTCGAGGCATGATGCAATTTACGTAGCTCGATAATTAACTTTACCTTTTACTTTACGCTTGAGAATAGAGCATTTCTTTATTGCTCTAGTCTTATGCACATGTGTAACTTCTATTTCCGAACTAGATGTGAAAGAATTACTTGAATTGCTGTCTGAAGTATCTGAATTGGAAGAAGTATCCAAATTAGAAATGCCCGAATCTTTCGATTTCCCAGAAAGTGATTTATATAAATCATGAATATCTCTTTTATTGATGGATACTATAACCCTCCCCCCTTTCTTGGCATTAAGATCTTTGATACGCAATGTAGTTCTTACCCAGGTATCTTTTGTGTCAGTCACAATTTCAGGTATGTATATTTAGAGCTCATCATCATCATATTTTTGGCCATAAAACCAATTATTATCAAGTAATATATAATTAGACATTTTAGAGATATATTTTTCTATGAGTACTTTGGTTGGTATTGTAATAGATTTTTCGTTATTAAGACGGATATTATCTTTTATATTAGATGTAAATGTGGTGTGTAGTCATCTCTCTGAAGAATTTGCTATCTTTATCTTCGGGAGTCAACTTCCTAGCGATTTTACCACTGATTTTCTTGAAGAGCTTATCAGTGCACATAGCTGGTCCGAGAAAACCTGGATTAAGACGGCAATTAACTTTTTGGATCCCTACTCTAGCTTTGACTATTTTCATAGTAAGTTATATTATGCACTATATCTTTATCGAAAAAATAACTAATAAATAATTACCAATTATCCGTAATTATTTGTAATCCATGATGGATAATTAGGATTAATCCCGTCAATCTCTCTGAGATAATTATTGAATGCTGAAACAAAATCAATATTACCATCTGGTATTGTTCCTCTTATAATTGGGAGGGGTAGATTAACCAGTCCAGAATTACTAGATTCAGACTCTGTTTCAGAATCGCTGGATTCAGACTCTGTTTTGGAATAGTCTGAATCGTAATATTCGCTTAGATCAATTAGGGTATTCTCTATATTTTGATCAGAAAACTCGATTAATATAACTTCTCCATCTGAATTATTTGCGGTAAATTTAGGAAACAATAATTCGTAGAATATATATAATGAAGGAGATACTATATCAATGTTATTTCTTGCGTAATATATCCTTTTTTCCTCATTAGATTCCCAATATCTCCCATCGCGCCCATCAATCCTGTTACCCAATCTCGTTAGCCACGTACTTCCCAAAACTAAGTCATATTCGGGTTTGTCAATGACTAAGAAATGCTCATATGATTTATCCAAATATGAGGGGGGTTCCAACTCAAAGATATTGGGTAAAGAAATAGAAACCTCTTCATCACGAAGCCATCCTCTTACCATCACTTTTTTACCAGCATTTGTTGCGCCAATGCCAAGGTCTTTTACTGCGGGATATTTTGATCCATACATTCTAGTAATATATAAATCCATTTTTTTGGCAAGTGCTTTACTGATACTATTATACTGGGATTTGGAATCAATAAGTGCTTTAACAGTTGTTTTACTATTAATGAATGTACAGTCCACTATTAATCTTTTGCGAATTTCTCTAATCACTTCGGTTTTCCATATATTATCTAGACTACAGCAATTTTTAAGATCTTGGATCGGGAGATACTTCGTAATAAATGGTATTAATTCTGGTGGAAGGAGATCAAGTAGATTAGGTGGTGTAATATCTTTACTTTTTTCAGATTCTAGAACCGGAGAATTTGGGGGTGGTGTTCTATCCACCTAATTAATTGTATCTCTTATACCAAAATCACTCCAAGATCCTTTCATTATTACGTTTTCAGAAATGTAATGATATATTTAATATTGTATTTTTTACTGCATATTAATAAAAGATAATTCAAAATATACAGTATAATAACTGAAGTTAATAACAAGTCTGTTATAAATGAAGCAATAGTTAAAGATAATATCAGTGGAGCTGGGACAACCAATATTTATCCGTCTCAAGAATTATGTGAAAGTATTGAAACAGTGATCAAGTCTTTTACAAAGCAACAGAATACTATTAATATGATATCCAGTATTGTTAGTCAAGTATCAGATAAAAAAATTCAGATTTCTCTTAGCCAATTACTGGAAATAGTAAAACCCGAGATTCAACAGGATATTATAAATTCTATAGAAAATCCATATATTTCTTGACATACACGCATTCCATGTGAAGCTAAAAGACGATACAAAAAGCTTATTTCCAAAAATACCGCATCTGAGTCTTCATCTGAGTCTGGATCTGAATCCGAACCTGGTTCTGGTGATGAGCTTAGTATACATATAACAAAAGTAAAGAGGAGTAATTAATAATTATATAGGTCAATGATATCCTCAACTTTGACTTCGTCATTTTTTTGCTTAGGTACTGGAGGTATAGTTACTATGGGACTATCTTTGGGAATTTTATGCATCAGTTCACATCCAATAGCCCTATAAGATACAAGAGCATAATGCTCTACTGGTGATACATATCTTGGATTATGTCTTAAAGCTTCTCACATAATAATAAATCTTTGGCCAGAATTTTCAGGCTCATGTATCATAGCAGTATAGTTTGCATCCAATTCACGCAAATCACTTGGTTTAATATCATAAGGCTTTAGAAATGAATTGAATCACTTTATACCTGGTATTCCAGGATCCCGCAAAGTATCATTTGCAATTGCTTTTTGGATTCAAGTGAGTAATTCACAAGCTCATTTTTCATCTTTTTCCATTGAATGAAATTTCCTAGGTTCGTCTTTATCTATTCCACAACCTTTAACATATCCTGTCACGCATCTATTAACAATATGAAGAGTCGTAACTTCAGCAGGACGCATACAGAGCATTGTAATTATATCGGCAAGGGCTTGTTCAGTAGAACTACCAGATATACGGTATTCTTAGAGTCTTTCAAGTATAGCTTCAGGCATAAAATGATCTGGGGGATCTAGTTTTTGATGCGTGAGTATTTCTCGTCTCATTTTTTGAAGCTGGTTCGATTCTTCAGTTATATGATAATCTTTTATTACATCAATCACTTCATCCGATATCCCATTCTTACGCAATTCTCTTCGGAGATATAAAAGTCGTGAGGATCTGGTGATATCAGTGATTATTTCTTTATCTTCTAAATAGGCAATATGAGATGTATCTTTATTAATTTCCATATATGATAAATTATCATTTTTTAGAATATTTTGGACCACATCTTTGATAGAATTCTCCTTTGGAGTATGACGCCCAGATTTTTGAAAAGAGATGAGAGCACGTACCTGTTCTTCACTATATCCTATTTGTCTGAGATGCCTTCGCACCTGATCTCTGGATCTATGGGAAAAATCCTTAGTTAATTCATCTGCGTATCTGCTAAGCTCAGATGGAGAAATTTGAGGTGATATCTTGTAGACTTTAATAATTTTTATCATAGCAGAAGATATCGATAATATAGTATGGTTGATATAGTATGATTGATAGATTATGATTAGTCGAGATATATACTATAGAGATTCTTTTTTCAAATCGAAATTATTTATGTGTCTTTGACACTGGGCTCTGCACATCCCGTGTTGATATATCTATACCCAAAAATTGAATGGGTCATGGTTAATATAATTCTATCAGAAAATGGACATGAGTAAGGCACGGAATAGATCAAAAGTCTTTAAATCTATAGCTCTATGAAATAAAATCGTCAAAAATTTTGATGGAATCAAAGAAGATATAGCATTACTCAAAGAGGTCCTGGAAAAAATAATCGATATATGCCAGATATATGCCTCACTCAAGTGATCGGTGTTCTGTTTTGGAACGTGGAATAATTCAGATTTTTCTATGATTTTTTCATGTCGATATAGGTGATATACTTACCTTAACTAGATGACCAAAATTTGCGAGACCGCATGACCCGGAGTCTCAGAAAATATTTATAATTCATACTTAGAATCAGATAAGTCAGGTATATGACTCTCAAGCATAATAATTTTTTCCAGTAATTCGGATTGCTTTTTTCTGTGATAATTCTTTCTACTTTAATACTTACCTACGTGTTTATCACATGCATTATGAATAGAGGTAGTTAACTTTCTACAATCTCTACAAGAAGTACGTACTGAAGATTTCCAATGAATATAGCATCCTTCTGGTCTATAACTATCTTGACCACAGATTTTTCCAGTTCTATGAATATATGGACAATGGTAAAATGCCATCATGATTGTATATAATAAGTATGTAAATCAAATTTATATTTTTTGACAGGGGGGTCCAGCTGAAATTTTTGGAATAATTATTTTTATTTTAAAGATTTATCTACCAATTAATATAGTTTCAAAATAATACTACATATATTATTACATATACTTTTTATCAGATCAAACAACATGTATATACAAATAACGCATATATACAAATCAATAAAATGAATTTATCTAGTGAAGCTAAAAAGCATCTATGTGAATCATTAGAACAACAGCATCTAAATCAAAAATTGGCTGAATATAACAAAGCAAAAAAGTTTCTCATGGGTTTAATGGATCTTGACTATGAACCTGGTCATGAAGAACATATGTATTATAAATATTGGCTTAAATCTAATGGCCATGCCAACTCTGATGATAGAAACGATACAGCACTTTTAGAGGCATATCAATCTGAAGAGATCCATTCTCAATATATAATTTGGGTGGCAGAAAAAGGTTATACAGTGATCAATCATCCTACCAAAGTTTATGAAATACCTAATATTCATGAATGTATTAATAGAAATTGGCCTCTTCATTTAATAATTGATATTGATGCAAGGCAAAAGCCTGATCTATCTAATCCTAAACTTCCTTTTCTAGATAGTAAGAAAATTACTCGTGAAGATTTGATGTCTTGAATTTTAGTTACTTGTGCAGATGCATTAAGCCTGATATCAGATTGTATGCCTTTCTTAAATTCTTTTGCATTAGCAAGTTCATCAAATATTAATAAATGTAGTTGGCATATTATTTATCCTCATGCCTAATTCATAGATTATAGAGAACTTAAGGTTTTACAGAAAAAGTTATGAAATTAGTTGGGAAATCTTATTCAGAGTTTATTAATATTGGTCTTCTCAAAAAACATTTCAATCTTCAGTTACTTGGATTGATAAAAGAAGGACATATAAAAAGACTAGTAATTTCTTCTATTAAGAATAGATTTCACAAGTTAGAAAATTATTTAGTTTAGCCTAAAGAGAATTATTCCGTGATCTGATCATGAACCTTTTCTGATGAGAAGCCAGTAGAAGAGGAATTTAAACCTATTGATGATAATAATACTTTGATTAAAGAAGCCAATCTAGTTATTGCAAAATATGGATGGCTCCAGATTGAAAGAACTGAGAAAGAATTCATTAACTTTAAAACACAATCAGTTAAAGAATGTCCTATATGTGATGTTAAACATAAAAAAGATCAACTTTATAGATTTATTTGACAAAATGGGTATTTTATATTTAAGTATTATTGCCAAAAATAATATAAGCCAGATCATAAGGGATTAAGCTTTGATAAGATATCAGATAAAGCTGAATCAAAAGAGAAATCTAAGTGGAGATTAATTGAAAGATTATCCAAGACTGTAAAATATTCATGCCCACTTGCAGAATTATCTGGAAAAAATATCAATATTAGCGAAATAGAAGATATTTCAGAAGCTTATCCAGATTTCTTGAGTGAGAAACCTACTACAACTCTTATTTGCTCATCTGTAATAACAGGAAAAATAAAAGATCTAAGAAATATTCTCAATTCCTTAGCTAAAGAGAGAGTTAACCTGTCATATTTTATTTGGGATTCATATCACAAGACACTTAGTAATGAGACTAAAGCCAAAGTTGATATATTACAAAGTACAGGATTGTATATATGCAATTATCAAGAAGTTGAAGGAGATTTAGCTATATGTGACTGGAATATTATTATTATTTAGGTTAAAAGTATACATCATCTTTCTCTTTTTGGAGGTTATTCTTACGTAGTTATTTTAGATGAAGTAAATATTATTATGTGTCAAATGAATAATAGAATTCATACTCAAGAATCTGAAAATGCTATGTGAGATTTATTAAAGTCAGCAGTTTATGTTGTAACTATGAATATCTTTACGAATGAAAGTATATTGTTACTGTTTTAAGATTATGCATATATAATTATTTTAAAATGGTAATAGTGATTGTATTCATGGCAATTATTAACTTTTTATAGCTTTAAGAGATTATGCAACTAATTATCTTTTCAATAAGATAAGGTATATGAAGTTTACTTCTGACAAAAATATGATTATCTTCTCAATAAAATAATTTATACATGTTTTACTTATAACAAAAATATGATTATCTTCTTAATAAGATAATATACGTGAATTTACTTCTAACAAAATGTGATTATCTTCTCAATAAGATAATATATACGAGTTTTACTTGTAGCAAAATGCTTTCTCAATAGAGCAAGAAGAAAATAAGATAAGATATAAGATAAGATATATGTATTTATTAAAGAAAAATACTAATTAACTACTCTTAACTCAGTAGTAATTACTTCTACCAAACTTAATTA